TTAATATTTTATCGATTTAACCCTTTATCTGCCACACCCCCTTCAGGATTCATTCGTTTTTTATCCTCTTTTCGGTGTTTAAAGCTTCAATCTTGTCAGACAAAGCCGCGTACACATCGACGGATAGGACAAACATTCTGAGATCGAGTAACGAATTGTGTTCGCACATCGACGTACAAGTACTTAGTGTCTTTCTTCTACCTAGATGCAAATATGTCATATTAAAATAAAGAAATGCCCCGCTGGACCTTCGCACCATGGTGGGTTAGATTCGAACCAAGTGGACCCCTGCTCACTGGAAAAACGAATGTGACATAAAACGCGTGCGGGCGGGCTTGCCTACCGTCGCTCGCCATTACGCCCTTACGGCCCTTACGCACGTAAGAATCCGGTACAGTAGAAGCATTAAAAAATGACGGCACGGATCACCCAATACGGGAGGAAGTAAAGCTAGATCAAGAGTTAAACTGCACAATCGCCTAGAAAATATTCAACAACTCAAATTGACAAAATAATGCATCAATTATTGGTAGCGTGTGACACGTACACTTGTCTTTATTCAAGTCCTGTTATATTGTTAGCCTCACCCTCAGGCTGTTTCCAAAAGTAAAGAAAGAAGGGCCGAACTGCCCGAACGCCTCTTAAACGTGTACATTTCAGTTCTTCAGAAGCTTCCAAGAGACCAGGAATATTGCGATTAAAAACTGGTCAACGCCATGGGCCTATAATAGCCCACCTCCGTGACCTGAGTCAACTCCAATTAATTAAGGAGTCGTTAAAGAGCGTCGAAATGCACTACAAGGTACATTGGTGACGCTTTTAAAGATCATCGAAGCGTTTAGTGCCCATGAAGCAAATTTAATGCATCACCAAATGTTTTACCCCTTATGTAAATTTCTACGGGCGCGCATTTACCGCGTGCGTGTATTCAACTTGCAGTAGCACAGCTAGTTTAGCAGTGCATGCAAGCTGTCTACCAATCGTACGGGGCTCTTTACCTGCACGATCATGATCAGTTGTTTAACGCAAATAAAACGTCACAGAGAGGAGGATGTGGAAAATAAAGTTTAAATCGATAAAGTATTGATATCAACGGAGAAATTTGACCACCAGAATCCCAGAAACAGAATATAACTTATAAAAAACAGCCTTCAGCATTTGTAAATTTTTGTGTATTTTGGTTAAATATGGTCATTTTATTCCAACTTTATGGTCCAAATTAATTTTAAAATGCACAATCGTGTTCAGCACCCCCGAAAACATAGGAATCGATGTGAAACGCATCAAGACCCATAAATTTGAATTTCGGTGCATTTTGGTTAAAATTAAGCATTTAATGAACTTTTATTGCACGAAATTACTTTTAAAGTGTAAAATCGTGACCTACGCCCCAATAAACATAGGGAGGGACACTTGGAACGCTCAAATATGACCAAAACCAGAAAACCACTTAAATTTGGCGCTATTTTGGACGCCATCTTGAATATCTCACTTCCGGTTGAAATTTCGAGTTGGCAAACGGCATTTTCGGATTCAGCGGGGTCGGAATAGGGGGGAACCGGTGTTTACTCAATTGTTACATGAAATGCTTCTTGCATTTGGATTTTCTCAAAACAAGACCCGACTATAGGACCACGCGGGGCCGGGGCGGGCCGGGCGGACCACGCTGCCGCAGACAGGCACGCGGGCCGCGACACGGCATAGGACACGCAACAGCACGCGTCGACACGTCACGGTCGCGCACCGGACCGGCCGGACAAACAACACAAAAACCCGGAGGCAACCTGTGGCAAACTTACCACCTCAGCCACGTTTAACAAAAACAAACTAAAACTTATTTGCAACGAATTTTTGATCGATTAATTTATTGATAAAAAGTACTAACGTTTTCTCTAATATTTTTAGTCAGAGTTTTACCTCCGTTTTTTCCATGAAAAATGTCGTACAGTTTACATTAACTTTCGGAACTCACCTCTGAGCACGTCGGCGGGGATGAGGCGGCGGAAGGTCTTGGGCCGCTCGCCGTCGGCGGGCTTCTTCTCGTCCGCGGCGTACACCGCCACCAGCGCCACGGCAACCACAACGGCGACGAAGGTCCTCATGTTTGACGACTAAAGTCCTGCGGGTGGCAGAAAAGGAGGGGGAAAATGAGCTTCCACATCATCGACACCACTACTATAACTTCTTTTGCATCACATGTTGATCGCGTCTCGCTCGCGGTCGTAAATAGTTCTGGTCAGTAGGTGTGTCTTCCGCAGAGGTGACCCCACCCAGCCCCGCCCCGCCTCGCCCCACCAGGAGCTGCTGCGCGGCTTGCGGTCTGCCGTCATTATACCGCTGCATGGGGGGAAGTTAATTGCATGCAGCAAACAATGGTCGCCGCACAATAATGATGATAATAATGACGACGATCTGGCCTGCCGTTGTGTCGGCTGTGTGTGCATGCGCGACTCGTCACTCCCACCGC